AGTGGGTTTCACTGCAGCCCCACTTGCTCTCCCACACACTCATAAATAACTATACAGATTCTCAGCCCTGGCCAGGGGGAGAAAAAGGAGAGAAAAGAGCCATTTAGGCAGCTCCTCTCCTCTCATGCCTTCCAACTGACCTTTTCCAAGGGTCAATCAGTCCAACCACAACTCCTTACTCTGACCCCCCTCCTCATCCCCTCCACCCTCTCTCTCTCTCTCTCTCTCTCTCCTTGCTGACACTAACCTGAATCATCCCAACCCTGGTGCCGTGGAGAGAAGCCACTTAGCAGGCTCAGGTCATTGTAAAGGAGTATTTAAGACCTGGAAGGCATAACGCCTCACAAGCTCCCAGTCCCAGAGCATGTGAGATGGCAGCCGGGGTCAAAGGTGAAGGTCACAATATGGGAGGAGGGGAATAAATCCTGTAGCATGGATGACAATGGCTGCAATCCCCGCTGACAATGATGCCATTGTGGGCTATGGGTTGCTTAGTGTGTCCTGGAGCTGTGCCTAATAGAGTTATAGTGCTGATGTGTTGGCTGTGTAGCCGAGGAGAGTAGTGTCCTTTTATATAAGCGGGGAAACTGCCCAGGAGCTTGAAAGAGGTCTCGGCTTCTCAATTTTGCTTTGCATGAAAGCCTGGGATTGTGTGGGTGCATTTGTGTGTGTGTGTGTGTGTGTGTGTGTGTGTGTGTGTGTGTGTGTGTGTGTGTGTGTGTGAGAGAGCTTTCTAGCTTAACTTCAGTGAGCTTCCAGCCATGAATCCTTTGCTCACTGACACACATGACTCCTCTCTTTAAAGAGTCAGAGTTGACAAGACGCATCGCACAAGTTCTGCTGATGTCTACATGCAGGTGGGCCGACTGCAACACCACTTTTCTAGTTGTCGGTCTCTTTAGCCTCACTGTACAAAGAATAATGCAGCATTTGCTTTTAGCACGACTGGGAGTGTCGGCATTCACTCGCCTTTTACTGTATTTTATCATGATAAACTGAATGTCGTTAGAGTTTGGGCTGTTTGCAAGACAAAGCAAACAATTTAGAGAAAATGGGAAATTGTAATGGGCATTTTTTTATGTATCTATTCTGACATTTAAAACACTTAGATATTATTCAACAGTAAAGCTGCCACAAGCTACTTTGATCCATACTTAATGATAAAAGATCTATAGGAGCTGACAGCATCTCGTGGATATGCTGTGCTTATGCTCTCCGTGGTCAGGATTTATTTGGCACGCCACTTAAGCAGAGAGGTGGGGAAAGCCTCTGGAGAAACACGGGCTGCTGATACCACAGGATCATCATCCTCGGCATAACTCAGACACTCAGCTGGTGGACGTTAATGTGGTGGCATGCCACGAGTACCTCAGTTGTCACCTCTGTTAGTGAGATTAGGCTCTGGCAGAATGGAGTGACAGATGATGAGTGGTGGGTATGACCACCAGGTGCTAATTCGGACCAAGAAAAAAGAGGCAGAGGGCTGAACCTGAACCGACAGAAACGCAGGCAGACAGACAGTGCAGCGTTTGGAAAAGCGGTATGTCCGTTTTGCTGATGTCTATAGTAACAGTAGCCTCCAATTTGACATTCCCTCCATCTAACATTGGTTTTCTGTTTTTTTTTTTTCCTCTTTTTGGCTTCTCTTTGACCTCCTTAAAAGAACAAGCTATGTTTCCCAGGGCCCAGCTATTTGAAGCTCATAGTTTTGGTCATCCAAGGTTTTCTGTTCCAACTCAAGCCGTTCAGACACTGTCCCCACTTACATTTCCACAATGGCAGGGTCCTGGGGTCCAGACCATAGCCGCCCTACACTCTGCCCACAGTTGAGTTGCCTCTGGCAGGACCGCTGCGTGCTTTGTGTGCTGGTTCTGGCTGCCGATCAGGGAAACCCCACAGTCTCTCCATGGTGAACGTCGAACGCCCTGCCAAGACCATTATGCATCCCTTCAATGGCCGTGAATAGTAGCACACTACAGTACAGAAGATTTGAGAGACGTGCAATTCGCTCAGGGCTACAATGCAAGACCATGACACAGATACTGACATTGGTGAACTAAACTAATCCCTGACACGGCTCCACCATATTGTGTCTGTGAGTCTTTTTCCGATGGACAACAACAAAACAAAACAAGATAAAAATGTGTCCTACATTGCACCATACAGGAAATATGAAAACAACTGGTGAATAAATGTTCCTTGACACATTTAGTGAACTAAATCTAAATGAGCATTACTCTAAAAAGCCAAGAGATTATTCCACTGAGTCAAATATAGCACTTTCTCACTTATTGTGGATGAGCCGGTGACAGCAGGAGGCCTATCATGTACACATTTAACACTCTTAAATATGGGGATTAACGCTTGTTCCACAATTTCACCGCAGAGTTCACGTACAACACACTGTACTACAGTGACCCAATAGTCTCTCAACCAGTCCTGTTTGCCAGTCTCCCGAGCTCTTATTTATTTGTATTTCTCTTCCTGGCACTGCCAACGGGGGTTGCGACTAGCGGCAATCTTTCGATTACTCTGTCGATTAATCATTTAGAACCTTTTTTTTTTTTTAAGTTTGTCAGTGTTATCTTCAAGTATCTTGCTTTGACCACAACCCAAATATTTTCAGCTTACTGTCTTAGAGAGGTAAAGAATCCAGAACAATTCTAATTTAACAAGGTGTATTCAGGGGACTTTCTATTTTTTCTCTTTAAAAACATGACTGAAATTGATTAATGCTAACCAGAAAATAGTCCAAAGTAGATCCACTATTCTTACTATTTGCTGTTGATAATGATTCCTCTGTCCTCGTTCTAAATTACTCCACAGATCAGTGACAGAAACGTAAATCAAACAGAATTAGTTTGACTGGTATCTGCATGTAGCGCAACACAACATCTGCCTACTAATTTACGACTCGTACAAAGTTTCCCAGCACCACCACGGTCCGAGGACACATTGCGGCAGTGAATATCAAGATGAGTCACATCAGCTAGCAGGCAGCTGGCAGGCTTGCAGTATCAGCCTATCCTGTTAATCTTACGATTAGCCTTCACTGATCCCATCAGGACTGCCTGGATCTGGGGTGCAGAGCCTAATGGTTTATCCTGCATGTCAGGCCTCTTTCACCCTGACCGCTACACGCACACAACACATGTGGGGCACACACGGAAAAAGCTCAGCATACCTCAGATAGAAACTTTTTCTGACACTGATCGGAGAAGCAACATGTTCCCAAAGCCCCGGAGATGGGACCTCGACATGCCCGTGCCTCACTGTCCCCCACAGACTGACATGTCTGGAGCCCCAGTGCTGTTCTGTTTCAAGAGGGTGGTGGTAGTGGAACGTGTCACAGAGGTCAGACCCAGAAGTTAAAGGGGCAAATTCTGTGCTCCTCTGACACCGGGGGTACGAAGGAGGGGGAGGGGATTGGGTAGCAGCCAAGTGACATGCCGTGACAGGCTTCAAGGCTTCTTAAAGTAGGGAGGCATGGAAGGCACATGTAGCAAACACTCAGACATCATACATCACCCACAAATACACACAGACAAATGTGAGCACATTCATCCAATGTGGGCACGCACCCACGCAATTACATACCTGTCAAATGATGGATCAAATGGCTAAAAAGAGACTTGCCAACATCCCACGGGTACCATTTGGTAAGTTAAACAGCATTTGCATCCAACATGCAAATGATTCACTGATGCAAAAAGAAAAATCTAAAAATGTTAAGAAGCTCAATCTGTGTTTTCTTACATTACTCACATTCACATGTGAGCGTGCATCCAAGTGTGTCTGAAGCTCGGCTGCGCTCTCTCGCTATAATAAGCTCCATCATGGCAGTTAGTTTAGGACGTTTCATGGGCACAGACTGGACACAGGAAAGAATCATCTTACTGATGGGAAAAAGGAATGCTGGAGGCAATTACCTCCCCTGACTCTCTGTGCTGGGTCAAAAGGGGACTGGCCATAAACGCCTGGACACCAACAGAGACAGACCTCTGACCAAGCAGGCCTTGTTTCACTCTCTCTGCAGCCACTAATGTCAGCTGGTGGAAGAGGGCCTGCTTGTTCAAATTTAAAGCACAATGTCATTCTGTGTCATGAGCAAACAACAATGCAAGTATTCATCCAGCACAAGAAAACAGTAATGTTAATACTCTGGCCATTTTTAGGATATGAATCACGAAAGTGCAAAATGTCTCGTGGTTAAAGTAAACAATTGTTTCAGGCCTACATTCACCGATGTATACAGGTGTTAACACACCTGCCATTGTGTCTCCAACACGATGATCTCATAGCAGCGATAATTATGAGTCGTGACAGACAAGATGCAATTTTTGCTGCTGAACGTGTCTGACAAGCTCAACAAGAATATAATAGGCTATCACTTGCCAAGTAGGGAAGCTACTCTGCTGCCTCTCAGACAAAAAAAGGTTTAAACATAGTGTTTCTTTGGATGCCACACCGTTGAAGACACTTTAATTATGTTAAAACCTGTAGCATGATGTCATTTTATAACAGTGTATTCGCTCACTAGTAAATCAGGGCAACAGCAAAGTGGCAGAACATTATATAATTCCGAGCTGTTTGAGAAAAAAAAAAATCACACAATAGGCATGGGTTAAATCATGTTCATTTAATGATTCAAACTATTTTTTTCCATTCATGCCCTGCAAGGAATTTTTTCAGCTGTTACAGGGAGGCTGGAGGAGAGTTGAATGAAACGGTCTGGGATGTTCCATAACAATGTAGGGGTGTATCAGAGCAGAATAATCTAGATATTTCTACAGTAAATACACCAGGTGAAATGCTCTTTAGATGATCATCCTTAAGCATCGGAGCTTTTGTTTTAGCTTGCAATATAAAGTTGGCGAAGAGCGTTTTGCGTGACAATGTATCCGTCCAGAAACAGCGCTTCCCCCCCTACAGTAGCAGCAAGTTGGACTGCGCCAAGATGATGTGAGGAGCAGCCCTTTAAAGTCGCTCCACTTCCGAGATGAAGTAAAGTAGAGCGACACCGCGCAGCGAGACGGCATGGACTGACAATCTGTATCTGTAAAACAAAGTCCACTCTTAGACAGGCTATGTTGACACGACACATTTGGACTCTGGGATGTTTAAGGACTCGGAATCTACGGAGTTTTCTTTTCGTGCAAATCTATGTAGGACGTGGCGTCTGCGACTGCACTGAAGTAGCCTAAATTCATCTGCGGCAAAAGATTTTTTTTCATTATTTTTTTTTTAAACGCGCAAAAAAAAGACAACTGCAACCTGGACTACTATTGTAAAACAGGAATGGTTTATCCTCCCGAAGGTTTATTCTACATCGAAATGGATCAAGCACCACCAGGTAAGTTAGGGTTAAAGGCAGCCATTGTCTGATCTGCGGGGGGTCGGGAAACGTTTTATTTATTTTCTGCTTTGTTCTGTCGCTGGCATCGTCTCGTGTAATGTCAGTAATGAAGCTGACATGTGACGAACGTTGTGCAGGTGTTGGTAAAAACGTTATAATGTGCAGGTCCTCGGTGCTGCGCTCCCCCAGTGGCATTGCCCAGGCATGCATAGCGCAATTCACTTGCCAATTACGTAATACCTTTCGGAGGACCAGGCGCAGTGGCTTGCCTCTTTTTCTTTTGTCCCAGCGCCTATGACAAACTTAGACGACAATGCACGGCCTTAATGCATTTTCTTACAAACCGATAGACGTCTTTTTTTTGGTTGCTAAATGTGCACAACGGTGCAGGGTGCATTTCGAGGGGAGTTTAGTTGAGGCTGCGCTAATGAGCGCCGCATGAAACGACCGCTTTGTTCTCCTCTGCAGCCAGCCGTGCTTAATTTGTGCGCTAGCTCTGAAAGTAGGCTACAGGCGAGCAGACCAGACAGCTCGTCTCATGACTGAACTCCGAGAAAGTCGCCAGCACTTCATTTCTTTTTCAAATCTACATTTGTCATTCGACCGCTCCGTTATTACACCGTCACAACAACATTTGAGTCCTGCTAAAAATTAACGAGCAGCTAGCTAAATTCCACTTTAGCTCCGTAAAAATGATCCCAAAATGTTAGCTCCCGTACGTGAATTATTTCAAGATCAGCTCTCAAAAAGTGCACTTAACGAAGCAAGAAGTCGAGGGGAATACTGCTGACACACAATAAGAACAATACCGACAGCCCGTATTGTTCCTCAGACGAGCTTTATGGCAATTGTGTGGTTAAGAGCTAACGGTTAGCTTACCTATTATGTGCTTTTACGTGCGTTTCAGGCTACTAATTTAGCATCTTTTATTATTCGATTCTTAAATTACGTGGCTCCATCCTGTACTAGTTTAAGCATGTGGGTTTTGGAAGCCGGTGGAGTTTTTTTGGCAGGAGCCGGAGAGTAGAGAGGAGAGGAGGGGGGGAAGGTGTGCACATTTAATTTTTTTTGCGGAGCTCAGGAGCCGCAGCGTTTCGTTTTGTGCCTGCTGCTGCTGCTGCTGCTGCACCTGCCTTTTGTTTATTTTAAGGTCAGAAAAAGAGGAGAGCGGATGGTGGGAGAAAGCCACATTTTCTCCTCTCTGAGGGTGCTCTTGTATTCTCCCTAACTGCCTCATGAAAGGCACTTTTGTCCTGCAGTGAAATATATCGCCCTTCACCTCCTCTTGATGCGGTTTGCCCTCTTTTTTTTCATTTTGAGGAAAACGCTTAGTCGTTCGGCCAGAGTCAGAGTTTTTTTTTTTTTTTTTCTTGCTCTTCAAGGTTGATGGAAAACTTATGATCTGTAGCCGAAGCTTGGAATGATTATAAAAATGGGAGGGATGGTCCTAAAAGACTCAAAATAAAAAATGCATGGTCTGCTTAACCCCAGTCATGCAGTTCAGGACGGTGGTAAAGGTAAAGTTTACAGAGTGGGACTTGAATTTACTTTGCAAGAGTTGCAGGGAATTAAATTATGATTTAATTTATCAAAACAAAACAAACAACAACACACATTTAATTAACTGATCACAAATGAGAACCACAAGCCCATTTTTAGCATTGACCACTGCCACTTAAAGTCATGGTAATGATCTGGCAACTGATATCTGTTGGAAACATGCCTGGGCTTGTCCTCAGATCTTGACAGGCTCCATCAAGCCAAGGGTGTGACAAAGTGTGTGTGTGTTGTGGGGGTCACAGTACTGAAGGGGTCGTGTTTACAGTGCTGCACTGGATCTTGAGACGGATTAATGCTTAACAAGTCTCTTTCTAAGAAACTGTGGTCCCGGTGCTTTGCATTTCATTGCGTCATCTTTCGCTCTCTTTGGCTTGCAGCGCTCCCTCCCAGGTCAACAAAGCCAGTGTCTTCCAGCATGAACAACAACTGTCCTTCGCCACCTGCGTATTCGCTGCAGGACGCCGAATGGTATTGGGGAGACATAACAAGGTAAGAAACCCCCCAAGCGCTCACGGTCCGCGCCATTGCTCTCACGAAGATCCGAAGTGTCGTTTGATTACTTAACATTGCTGGCATGTTGGATCCGTTAAGCGTTAACTGATTCTGCCCTCAGGGATGAAGTAAACGAGAAGCTCCGAGACACACCTGACGGCTCCTTCATGGTGCGTGACGCATCCACAAAGCTGCAAGGAGACTTTACGCTGACATTAAGGTAAGCCGCGGATAAAAAGAGCGCTCATTCACAACAAAGCCCACGTATCATCAGCGGGGTATAGGTTCGAATTTTACACTCGTCTCATTCTGCCGCGTCACTTTCTCAGGAAAGACGGGCACAATAAGCTGATCAAGATTTACCACCGCGATGGCAAGTACGGCTTCTCGGACCCCCTCACGTTCACTTCGGTCGTGGAGCTCATCTGGCACTACCAGCACCATCCTTTGGTGGAATACAACGCCACACTGGACCTGATGCTCACCCATCCTGTGTCCCGCTTCCAGCAGGTTAGTAAGCAGCGTTGCTTTAAGCTTTTATGACTAACAAAACTGCACAAATGTTTGATTAATTATGAGATTTTTTGTTCAGATTGCACATGTTTGACTAAGTGTCATTTTTAAAATTTAGGTGGAAAAGGACAACGTTGATGTCGCTGGAAGAAAACTCAAGGAGGTCCACTGTCAGTACCAAGAGAAATCAAAGGAGTTTGATCGTCTTTACGAAGCCTTCACAAAGACTTCACAGGTTAAAAACTCATTTTAATTTTTCCACAAAGGGCAGAATTTACATTTAACAAACCCCAGAGTGTTTTCTGACTGGATCTGTTCTCTGTGATGCAGGAGATCCAGATGAAGCGCACGGCGATAGAGGCCTTTAATGAGACGATGCTCATCTTCGAGGAGCAGTGTCGCGAGCAGGAGCGTTACGGGGAGGAGTTTGAGAGGAGCAGCCTTTCCGAGGGAGCCGACAAAGATCTGGAGAGGTACTTCATAACGCCGTGGCCTTAAAAAGAAGTCCTCAAATGCAGTTTAATTTGGGCGCATTTAGCCCACATTCCTCGAACTCTATTCAGACCCGTGACCTTTACTTCTTCCTCATTAGCTTTCTGATAAATTACGAGAAGCTGAAGTGCCGTCTCGGGGAGATCTATGACAGCAAAATCCACCTGGAGGAAGACTTGAGGACGCAGGTGGAGGACTACAGAGAGACGGACAGGAAAATGAACAGCTTGCGGCCAGATCTCATCCAGCTACGCAACATCAGAGACCAGTATCTCAAGTAAGAAGCATCAGAATGTTGTTTATTAAAGGTAGAAACTTACTGTAGCTGCTCTATAATGTAAAATTGTTTTGTGATAAAACTAAAAATCTCTTTGCACCTCTCATTGCAGCTGGCTTAATCACAAAGGCGTACGGCAGAAACGCATAAATGACTGGCTGGGGATACACAGCGACAGCCTTGACGAGTACGTTTCAGGGCTTTCTTTCAATCTAAAATAGAAAACTTTTAACTAATAAATTCAGAATTGTTACCCAGGTGTTAAAATAGGACTCTTGTTCTTCCAGCACATACGTGTTGAAGGGAGACGAGAAGAATTTGCCACATCAGGACGAGACGAGTTGGTTTGTCGGTGAACTGAGTCGGACACAGGCTGAGGAGATGCTTCAAGGCAAAGATCCCGGAACGTTCCTGATCCGGGAAAGCAGCAAGCAGGGCTGCTACGCCTGCTCCGTTGTGTGAGTACATGTTTTGAGAACGGTGTCAAATTTAAGCCAATTTGAGATCATTCATATTTTTAACGACGACGCTCACCCGTGTCCGTTTTTGTCCGTTCATTACAGAGTGAATGAAGAAGTCAAGCATTGCATGATCTACAGCACACCGCACGGATACGGCTTCGCTGAGCCCTACGACGTCCACTGCTCGCTGAAAGACCTCGTCCTGCACTACCGCCTGCACTCCTTAGCGCAACACAATGACGCCCTGGATGTTCGGCTGTCGCATCCCGTACACGCCAAAGCCGCAGCCACGCCTTCTCAACACGCAGACGAACACAAACTGTTACAGACTCCTAAACACACGTCGGGGCTCCCGCCTGCCGCTCCAGAAATGTAATCCAGCGGACAGAGAGAGAGAAAGAGAGAGAGAGGGATGGACAGAAAAAAAAAAAGGACATGTTTACTGTATCCTGCGAGAATGACTGCATCGAGGTGCATTGTGTAAAAATTTTGCACTACAGTGATTCCATCGGTTTTTTTGTGAATGGGATTTCACAGATTGAAGTGGGTCGGAACTTGAATGTCAGCTTGAACTTTTATTTTTTTTAGTTTTCAAAGAGACTGTTTATGCTTTCAAACAAATTTTTTTTTTTTTTTTTTGTACTTCATTTATTGCCGTTTGTTCTAATGGACTCCGTTTCGGTAGGGATGTCGACAACCTGAAATTTGCTCACTGACATCGGGTGCTGCACCTTCGTTTGAGTTGACGTTGCTTGAGATGTCCATTTCCCCCCCAATTAAAGATGTATTCAGTTTTGGAAATTTGACCAATATGTTAGATATATATAGAGTTACTACTACAAAGTGCATTTGTGAGGGTTAAAAAAAAACAACAAAAAAAAAACAAAAACAAAAAAACATGGTGCTGTAAACAGGCTGATTCCATCGTATGTTTTTTGGTGGACCAAACCATTTTTTGGGTAAAACGCCACGTGTGAATATGTGAAAAGTCGTGGTGCATCTTGACTATTTGCCCCTTTTCTTGATAGACATTCATATACGACGGCTAATTATGTAGCATTAACATCCTGTAGAATACCATAGTAAAAGCATACTCAATGTTATACCCACTGACCAAAGCACTTAAATAGTGAGCAAAACTACATCCCCCGTTTAGTCCGGTAATTGCATTTGGGCAAGGGTAGGGCAATTTATGTACACCTGCTGATGTGCTGATCAAAAACATAATCTGAAGTACTGTATGTTATATTCTGTTACTCAAAGAAGTATAAGCTTTTTGTATTCTATATATATTTTTTCTATAAACATGCCACAAGATGAAAGCTTGAAGAAAGTGCAATCCAACAGTATTTCTATTGTTGCAATGTATGATGATGGTGGTGGTGGTGGTAGTGGTGGTGGTGAAGGTAATGCTGTTATGAGAGGTTGACATTTGCCACAAAAATGCACTCTCTTTGGTGGTGTCGGTATGATGTGGCCTCCGATGTTTGTGTGAACTGCCAGAGGTCCGGAAGTATCCTGCCTCCATTACTTGAACTGTGGCATTGCTCGAGCTATGAATGTTTTTCATGACATGCAGCCTACATAGCTTAAGAGGAAAGGAATCCATGTTGAACTTGGCACATTTTTCAAGTTTGAGGACAATAGATACTCTGTACAGAGAAACCGTAAAATGTATTTCTGAGGTTGGTTTATGGAAGGAGGTTGATTAAGCCTCTTAAAAAATATATAACTCCACTGGGGGATCGAGGAAACTCCTCGGGTGAAGCTGAGCAATGTGAGATCCTGACCTTTTTCTTGCTGAAAGACAATAAACTGATGAGGGTTTTGTCAACTTACGCAATCCGTTGCCGAGTTTTTTTTTTGTTTGTTTTGTTTTTCATCTACTCCTCAAGCGATGCGGCATCACTTTTGGAGCATATTTTAATGGGAAGTGACCAGAAACGACCTGTAAAGTAAGTTAACTGGTGATCTAAAGTTTACCGTCTGTCTCAAGTGGATCCATTATGCTGTAGTCCGATGAGCTTATCCTTGGGTCGGGCAGAGATAGGAGGCGAGCGAGGGCACTGGAGGACACGCTGTGGACAGATGGAAGAGAAAGGAAGCGATAAAGACAATAGCAGGATATGCGCAGGCTCTTTCCCTGGCCGACGTTTACTCACTGGAGAAAAATGCATAGAAAGTATTTCACCAGGAAAAAAAAAAAAAAAGGTATTCGGAAACATCTTTGCATTGATGCCTCTGTGAGAAGGAATGTTGCTCAACGTTTAGTCCTGCAAAGTTTATCTTGCAGCCTTTGTTATGAGATAATTACACCAAATTAATGTGCTTCTAAATTAAGCCACGGCGCCGTTTGCCACAGAAACAACCCCGGCTAGGACAGCGCGACGACGGCGAGCCCGCGTGGCGCTACAACCGGGCCCTCCGTGACCAGAGCAACAGGTGGCCTCTTTCAAGCATCACATAAGGTCTGTGTTAGGTAAGGATTAATGAGGTGCAAGAGGGCAGGGATGTACTGGGGGAGAGCCTCAGTTCCAGGCCACGGATTACTCCCTCTTACCTGTGTCAGCATGGAGAGCCGATGGACAGGCGGCATGCGTGCTCTGCCAGGACTGACCAGATGCAGTGTGGCTACACAGATAGATAGATGGATGGGACAGAGTGTACCGGAGCTGAGTCACCCCGAGGCTGTCCGAAAGACCGAGAGAGAGTGGGTAGAGAAAATGTGTGGGGTAGACAAGGCAGGAAAAGAGGAGGGACAGGAAAGAGTGCTCAGAAAAGTGCATTTGTACTCCCTCCTGTGCAGGATGGTATGTAAAAATGAAGGCTGGAAAAGGTCAACTCGGGCCTTTCCTACATTTCCCTTCTAACTTGGAACACACTCCCACCTGGCAATGCCCTAAAAGCTATTTGCTTTTATTGCACTTTCTGCTCACTTCTGGCTCCCTCGGCTCCCAGCAGTTTTAATCTATGTAAAAACCCCCCACATCTTTTCTTTTCTTTTTTTTTTGTTATACAACCCCCCCCCCCACCACCATCCTTCTCTTCTTTCTCTTTCCTTGTCAGCACACCTCAGTCACTCCCCTCGTTTAAATTCATCTCGTTTTGCTTTATAGTTCTCAATTTAAATAAGTCCTGACTGGAGGAGGAGGTGAAGGAGGAGGAGGAGGAGGAGGAGGAGGACGGGGGGAAAGCAGGACGAATTACCTTTGGAGTCACGCCTAAAATACACACACCATCAACTGTCTCGCAGGCTTTCAGAAAAAGAGGTTTTCGCTTTCAGTTTGCGGCAGCCAATGGCGTCTCTCCTCCCCTCTGTCTCCGTCCGACTCCGCAGCTTCACGCTGGCCGAGCAGCCAATCGGAGGCCGGGAACGTGCCGCGCGTCAGCCAATCAGCGAGCAGTTGCTATGTTGGAGGCAGAATCGATAAGAGCAGGATTTTTTTTTTTCCTGCTCTTTTTTTTTTTTTTTTTTTACTAGCTCACATTATAGCTGGCTTATAGGCTGAAGGCAAGAGATCCTGTTGCCTGCCAACCAGCATGTAGGCTACAGACTGAACCATAAAACACTCCAGAGCTGCATTTTCTGTGATACCACCTCAAACTATTTGTGTACACACTGCTTTTTATATAAATATATGCAGGTATGCTAGGTGAGATTAGCTACCTTAGAATTCAGGTTCACTGGTTGATCACCCACTGTTAAGGTCATGAAAAAGCAAAAGACTTAACATGGAAGTTTTTTTTGTCCAAGCCTGGAGGAATTATGGTCATAGATGCACATTTTTCTGACTGAAAATGATGTTGTGAAAGTTTGTAGATAGTTTTATTTTAGTCTATTTTTCATTGCACAGTGTACAACAAAGTTAAGCAGCAATCCCATTGGTGAATTCACACACAAAAAAGTAAAAAAAATCCAACAATAAAATACTACAATGTGCTTAAAATACACAGTGAGAGCAGTTATATGGCTAATTTATGTAATAGGATGACTATAAAAACAGTAGTGTAACTTCTGGGTTTACAAAGACACTTCTGAACATTCACAAAAATGTAATAGCTTTTACAAAAAAAAAATACACACCACAAAGTGCAGTTGTGTGTAAACATGTACACAGGTTCAGTATATAAACTTCTTCAGGCACCTTTTCCATTATTATTTTGCCTATAAAACAAAAACAAATGCATTCATTTACTAACAGGAAATCCAACTGTGCCGTCGTGGCTTAACTAGACCATAAATGCTGTAGTCAATAATGTACACATTCATTAAAATGCAAAGGATAATAATGGGATTGTGAGGCCATATGTCCTCCTGGTGGCCTAGTTTAACCCTGATCCAAGGTCTGTTGCTTTACTGATCTGTGTTGTCAAATTAAATCAGAACAGAAGATTATATTCTATGGTTAATCCTGAGTCTAATCAGTTTAGAATGAGGTGCAATCTATGGGGGCAGATTTTGTTGGAGCATTGGGGAGGGTTTGTATAATTAATGTACCATTTAGTGCCCATTTCTACATCAGTTTATGGTGGAAAACACAAAATTCAGACACCAATGAAGTCGAGCTCGTTCACTTCTTTCACGTTTTTGCTTTGAACCAGTTCTGTTATTTGGGGTGTCATTTACTCCAGTACAGTGGGCATTTTTGTTCGTCAAGTGATCAGAAATGACAGGAAAACGCTGGGATTTCCATCAAACGACGTAACAAAGCCTCATTGTCTCGACTGTATGTGGATCATGCTTACTTGTTGTGCGTTCTCATCCCTCAAAGGCTCCTTCTGAGCCACCAGAAACCCTGATTTTACCAAACAAAAGTTAATGACAAGATGTAGCGTTCCCTGCTGTTTTGCAAAAAACAAATGCAGCACACCATTACTTATGGAAAAACGATCATTTATTGGCATTTTTTGGTCTGTCTCAGTAATCTAAGTGCAGATCTGGGATCACACTGAGACTGGAGGTGACACTGAGCCAGCTTAGGGATAACATACTACTGCTTGTTGACAAACCATTCAGGAGAAATGTCAATCCAGATCCAGCACCAAATCAGATTTGCAGATACCAGCTTAGGCGGGGATGGACGATGATCCCACCTCCTTAAAACAGGTAGAGCAGGCTGCCAACGCCGCTCCAAAATAATAACTCTCCTTTTTGGATAATTGCACAACACTACCATACCTTAACATAACATCTGATGTTGTGCTTTTTTCCCCCCAAAGGAAAGAAAAATCCTCGCCAAAGCACCTCAACGTCCCTCAAGCTCTAAGGACAATCTCATTGCAGGAGTTCAGCTCTCAAATAGATTAAAAAAGAAGCAGCAGGCACGTGGCCAGCAAACTAATGTGGCACAGGACGGGCAGACACCAGCCTAAGTGCAGATGGCAGAGGAGCTTCAGAGTTCAAATCAGAAACGGCTAATACTGTATACACACTGTAGGTGGTGAACTTAGCCAAGATAAGGAAGGGTTACGCGGTTCACATGTCCTGTCAGGTGAGGACAGAAGCCTCGTCTGGCAACGTCAGAAGCAAACACGTAGCCGAGATAATATCTGCAGTACATTTTTTTTGCAAAAGACAATGGCATTATGAACATAAAACACACACACCTCAACGTTCAACAGGGATTTCACAGGATAACTTAAAGCAACATTATAGAAAAACTACCACCACGGGGTATTTACTTGCTTTGTGTTAAATTCAATCAGTCAAATCAGAACACCATGTACTCTCATCTGAACCTTTAATCTGTCAGTCTCATCTCACAATATTTTTCTTTCCTGGTAAAAGTGACGTCTGCGGCCCTGATGAAAAAGTCAGCCATACCCTGCACTTACAACAGAATGGTAATTATGGTGACCGCTTTCCATAGGATGACCCTCACACTATTTACTTTTTTCTCCCACTACATGGGAAACTCTGGGAGAAACAGTCACCACAACGGCGAGACATAATGATCAGTGAAAATAACGATCACGCTCATGACAAGCAAAAGCATTGCCTATAGGAGAAAAAATGAGAGATTACAGCCAAGACTAACAACAGGGGGAAAAAAAGCATAATCACACTGCAACAGAATCCAAAAAAAAGTCTGTGTCACCACATTCATATTCATTTTAGCACCTCACCTACTTATTAAAACCTTAAAACCTGTTTTGCAAGGGACACCTCCCCAGGCAGCAGCGAGAAGAACAAAAGGCAAAGAAACGTGAACATTTTCCTGTGACAAATTAAACACATGCAGCATAATACAAGGAATAATGCACAACATTTTGGCACATTTAATTTTTTTTTTTTTTGTAGCAGAAACTTCTTTTCTGCCACTGCTAACGGTAGCAAAATGAAGACTCTAACTTTCAGACTGAATTGTCTTGTCAACACATGATGGACATATTACCATGCTGAACTTGTAGAGAACATGTATGTGCCATCTGTTGATTGAGCTTGTTGTCACGCTTCAATGAAACACTAATGAGGCTCTTGAATTGCAAAACAGCACCGATCGCCTCACGACTGCTAAAAATAAGTGACGTGATTAACACATAACTTAGGCTTGTGTGGAAGCCGACAAGTAATCGTGCCACTTTTTTGTTTTTTTTTATTAATTAGAGGATGAAGAGTACATTAGTTGTTTTAACATGTTTGATTTGCTAATAAACCTGTAGACAAGTTAAGGCTGTATTTACACATAACAAGATGCCACATTACATGGCAGAAATATGAGAGTAGATTCAAGCAAACTCACGGAAAGATGCTGAAAAATGACAAACCTGAATAGAGCAGATTTTCTTTTTGATAATTAAAATCTCCGAATTTGTTCAAGGTTAAGCATTGCAACTT